ACGTCTTAACGTTTAATGAATAACTACAATTAACATGAAATTCTTAGTATAGTCTGGTTATTTAAGTATTGGTTCAGAACATAATGCTACTTTTAGTTTACAAAAGGATTTTTGACCATCGTTACATTATGTAAATTTAATACCAACAAAATTACTCTGTACACTACGTGAAAAAAACCTCGCTTGGAAAAAAAAACACGTTGGCATAGTAAGAAAAGTTGTTACATCAAAAAAGGGTTAAGTAATTTCTAAAAATTAATAAGCATAGAAATTGTTTTTAATTATTTGTACTTGATGAAGTGCGATAGTTTAATACTAATAATTTAACTTAGATTGACGTCTACTAATATTTACGACTAAAGCTAAAGATGCAACAGCACGTGAATAGGTACATCCACATTTTATAATTTTATAATATTACTACAATATTATTTAGCTGCATCATATGAGTCACCAAAAAGATAAGATGTATGGTACAAAAAGCGATTGCAACCGACGAGTGGCGGAAATTATATTATGCATAGTCCGAAATCATAGGCAGGTTGCTTGGAAGGGGAAATATGGGCGGCCAGCATAAACATGGCGTCGTACAACACAATACACATTGTTAAATTGTTGAAAAGCGTTTAGATCAATAATTATGCTAACCTCCGATCAACTTTGAATATTTATTAAAATATTGTCTACATAGCATACTGGTCAACGTAGGAAAATTTCAAGTCTATCAGTTCATTAGTTTAAACTTCAGAGATATCGGACCATATTTAGTAAGATTACACAGCTTAAAAATTTTAATTACGAGTTGGCCATCTTGTGTAATTATAGTCACGAGTTCTTATTTTTACTTAGCTCTGTACCTCCACCGCGTCGTTAGATATAATACACGAATTTTTTAACTTCCTATAATAAGTAACAACTGCTTAAACCTAAAAAAATATATATCATTTACATAACCAACCAGGTTTTAGAAATTATAACACAGATTTTATTTTCTTACGTTTGGTTTGATACCGGTTTCCGGAATTACGTGCCTTAAATATATTATATTTGCATTTTAAAAATTGTATTCACATTTATCCAGTTGTTATTTTAAGTTATTCATTCATAATCGTTCTAACACTTCCAATAATTTTTTGTTAGGTTCGTGTAATTGTTTCCCTTGGGAAATTGTGTCATCTTAAAACAAGGACGCCTACATTTAAATTAACATTAATTGTTTTATTATTTGTAAAAAAAAAAATATGTGCTGTATTATCAAAGACTTTTGACCTTGGACCCCATCCGGGTTCATATTTCTGCTAGCGCCCGTGATTAGATATACTAGACATTTTATTCCTATAAGTCCTGTTTAAACAATATCCATCGAGCTGAAATGACGAGAGATGTTGGAATCTTCATAACCATTGTTTTGAAATTCCAGTGACCGTGCAGTAACCATGCTGACAGTACAGATAACAGTTGACACTATCCTAATTTATCTAATATTTCGGTAATATTAAAAAGTGGCTTAATCTCACTTTAAGGTATTATATTATAAGGCTGTATTTAGTAAAGTTAAAATATCCCATAACATATGGAATATGTTATTATATCGTTCTCGTACATCGTAAATATATGGTTTTTTGTAAAAGTCTAGATTTTATTATTTGTCTTAATCGTGCTATACGCTCATTCATAATTATTTCTTGTTGCTTCAACCGTGTATATTTCATATTAGTAGTCATAAAGTAGATCAGTTTCATCCATAATTTTCAATTCTTCTGGCACATTTAACATAGGTACGTACTAACTACTGTTTTCCCTTTATTAACAGTTGATATTGTACTACTACATAATATGTCTTTTGTAATTTTTAGTTTACTTTTACTTTCGATTAATGGGTCCGCAGTAGATATTTTTAAGGTGGTCTCTGGCCTTGGTTTTAATGTAACAAATATTATAACTAGTTTCATTCGCGTTGTGCACAACATTAGTTCTATTGAACTCCGGGGCTTCATTACTATCACGTTATCGTCGTTGTGAATAATTAAAGTGGTTATTCGATACATCCACTAATAATTTATTTTTCAACATAAATTTGTGTCCTAATATTCTATCTTTTGGTATAAGGAAATCAATTACTACATTATGAAATTCCGTATCTAATTTGTTCCTGTTTATTCTTATATTTCATTTACAGTTAAAAGGAAGTCGCACCTGCATGTGTTGTCTCTGTCTTAAGTGAGTACGGCATACAAATTTTCGTTCACTAATTTCAGTAGTGTGCTGTTGAGTGAATAGACCTATTATCAAAATTAGGTGATTTCTCATTGAGTTTTTACTATATTTTAATGTTAAAGCACTGAACAGCTCACAATTAAAACTAGTGAACTAAAATTTGTATGCAGTACTCACGTAAGACGGAGACAAAATAATATGTGGGGGCGTCATAATCTTAATAACTAATGTATCGTATTAGTTAACTTAGTTCGTTCGTTTTACTATAGGTGGTTAATGTACCTACATGTTATACCATTCTCTATTGTAGATTGTTGAGACAACATGTTGTAATGGTGATCAAAACTTAAAAAAAAATAATCGATCATCTTGAATCTTGAAATACTTGAGTAAGCGCCTCTTTTAAATGCGAATTGCGGAAAATACTTAGCGGACACTTACTGGCTTACTTGGTGGTACGAAGGTGCTGTGAAAATGTCAAGCCTGAAGCTATCATTGTTTAGGTTCTGGGACTGACCCGGTCCTTATCCATTATTCAGGACACATTTGATTTCGATTATATTATACATATATTATGGCCATCCCCCCTGGCGTTGCCCGAGGGACTCACTTCTGATTATGCGAGCATTATGTTGTCAGGTTATATTATGATTTTTTTTATAGATCTCGAGAAATACATACTTAAATGTATAATTTCTAAGTGTAAAGTAAGTTAAACCAAGTTATTTGTCGCTATTATTATTATTATTATTATAATTATTATTATGATTATGTTAAAAGTATACTCAATCATAATAACTATTTCATTTTTTGTAATTTATAGCAATATCCTATGATAAAAAAGGTCCATAGATGCTTGGAAAAGTGTAGCTTTCTCATGGTAAAAACATTTTTTAAATCAGTTTAGTAGATAAAGAGATTACCCGAACAAAACTACATACCTAATTAAACTTCATTGTTGAGCTCTAATAGTTTTATACTGATAGCTTAATAATAAAATATATATTTATACTTCACACCTAAATTAATATTAGATAAGTGCAAAAGGATCAATCGCATTATAATGCATTATAAAATAGTTGTATAATTGTTATTGAATTTATATATTGTTTTCAATTCCATTGATTGTAAAATGGCCTAATTATTAAAACATCAAAGTTCTCGTTATTTCATCATCACTATATCCCCTCCTCCCCAGTTGGGAACCATATTGCCCTAAATGAACTGGGACGCACTCGGGCTACGTAAAAAATATTACCTTTTTTTCTTGGGGCGCACTCGGGTGATACATTATTTTGGATGCACTCAGAACATTGAATATCGGTCATTTTGGGACGCACTCGACAACTCCTAAAACATCTTGTCTCTCTCGCGTTAATCTGGTTTATCAACGAGTAATTTATAATATAATTTGTCTACTCTATGACACTATTACGTATATACCGTTACTCATATTTTTAGAATTCAGTTGTTTTTGTAACGTTGATGCTGATGTTCGTCATCTAACGCGCCTGATAAATTACTTTTATGTATATCCATTTAGTGACATTTAATAATCATTTAGAAATTCATTTGCAAATTTTCGATATTTTTAGTCATAATTAAGAATTTTAACTTTTAAGTGACGTTTAAGTGTATTATATTATATTTATCAATTTATCCTACCCATTGAATAAAATCTAAATGTAGGAAAAAATTGTTAAATATTTTTATTTGTACATAAAATATAATAAATTGAATGCATAAAATGCATAAAATCAATCTAATAATTAAAGGTAATAATTCCGTAGATATTAACCGAAACTTAAAATTTATGAACCAATAAAATATGGAGGCAGTGAAAACATTTCTGGGCGAAAATCTTCCAGAGAGTTTAACACATACGTAGCATTGGCGGTCGACATATTATGCCATATTGACAATATAGGATCAGGTACCATGACCACTTGCATACCGGCCGCTAAAGCCGCAGTAACTCCATTCGGTGAGTCATCTAACACCAGGCACTACATAAATTTATATTTTTTGTTATAATGTGCATGTTTATAGGGTGATCATTGTTTTTCAATATTGGATGATTTTTAAACTGCAGATATGAATCAGGTTCAATATGTATATAAAAATAGAATGTTGCTCAAAAATTGTTATGGAATTTGTGTAAAGTTTGATTTTATTTTTATAAAGAATATTAATTGTGATGTGATATTTATTAAAAGCTAAAAACAATTAGGTTATCTAGAACTTTGAAGTGGCACGATCTCATGATAAATTATCACAATGATTATATTGTATTGAAATTTTAATAATCAACTTAAATATAAAGTATTGACTCCCAAAAAAATCATAAAAATTCAAAAAACTTGAATGTTCTATCAAATTATGTTAATTTAAACAATTGAATTCTGTTAACGGAATTAGTTTACATTTAAAGATATTCAATAGTTTATGGTAATTGCCCCTACGGTCCTGCAAAATTATTGTATCGTATAAACAGTATTAAATAAACTGGTTTTGCACTTACTCTGAGTAACAGGGAAAGTGTAATATTATTTTTAAATTTTTTTTCAAATATTTATTTTTGGACCAAAAAATTATAGAAACACTTTTGAAGTCCTGATAAATTTAATAAGAGATAAAAAAAAACTTTGTTCTTCATAGGGAAACACATATGCAGTTAAAGTGAGATTTTGCAAATTCGTGTCGCTGTTATCTCACCTAATCTTATTTCGTTTGGAGCTTTGGACGAGGTAAATTAAGAAACGTCACGGTGCGCTTATTATTACCTTGCTGTACGCGGGGTTCTCTTCAAACCTAGAAGCACATATTTTGAAGATGTCTGGTGCTGGTTTACCGTTTTTTACTTCCGGGTCAGAAGAACCGGTGACCACATGATGGAATACAGAGAATATGTCCTTCAAATGATCCGTTTTCATGTGGAAACACTCCTCCGAACTACTCGTTATCACCGCCATAGGTACCTTGTTTTGATGTAAATGCACCAAAAGATCTTCTACTCCTAAAGAGTTATTAAATATTAATTATATAATAATATTATATGCACGTAAACTATATGATTATTTTGTTATAATTTAATATTGGTTTAAGTCTAAAATAAATTATTATGTATGTAGTGATGTGTATTTTTAAACACTCAATCATCTATCAGCAATTGTTTTAATATACATACCGCAGGATACTCATCATTTTTACGTTCAAAATATAAAAACTCAAATTTTAAAACATACTGTATGACTAAAAATGTGTATAGGTAACCATGTACGTTAAGTTGTAAAGAGGTCTATGATCCATAATTAAGGAATTCATAGCGAATCGTTTTGTTAGAAGTTTAAATTTATGTTAAATATTAGCTTCCCAAGAAATTATATAAAGTAATGTTACATTTTGACAATAATGAATTAGAGGCACTCACCAAATGTAATTGACCATTTTGACCAACTAAAGTTAACACGAATACACAATGCCGGCAACACTATCGTTGCTACTAATATTATTATTTAATTCAGAATTGACTAAAGAAAAATAGTTTTTTTTTAATTCAACAAAACAAACTTTTTATACGTTTAAAATTTTTTTTTTTATATGTTCTTGACGCGTTATTAAAATAGTTTTAAAATAGTTTGTTTTTTTAAATTTTTAGCAATATTTCTTGTTAATTTTAAAAAATTAATTTCTTAAAAAATCAAAATGTTAATGTAGTAGTTTTTCAAAATTAAATTAAACTATTTAGTTCTTATTAATAAGAAATATGTATAAGTAATAAATCAATAGGTTTTTCGAGTATAAATAATTTTGAACGTTTTAAGTAGGTTTTTATGTATAAAATGTTTAAAATAAAACCACTTGTAATAAACACTTTGACTTACGCTTATTATTTTTTTTCACCTTGCTTTAACTTATATTGTTGTACACTATTGTGATTTTTAATAGACAATAGTTCAATCGCAATATTACATAGAAAATTGAGTACTTTATTTTTTTCTAATTTAATTGACCAATCATAGGCCACTAAATCATGTTTTAGGAACCCTTAGCTCACCATTGAATCATTAAATGATTATACTCCGAGCCACGAGAGAAATAACCCTTATGCGGTCGAATTCACATATTCCCCACGTATTTAAGGGACAAAGTGGGGAAAACGGAGCCTAGTAACGCTCACGGCCGTTAGTCATGCGCGAAATTGGTACCTTCTCTCATGGCGCTGAGTATAGTGATTTCTTATGCAACCTGACATACCTAAATTTATATGAATATGACAGTATAATATTATTATACGCTATATTTTATGCAAAGGCAAAATCCCGATAACGATGTCTTGTATAGTTGTATGTAACATGGTTTGTGAAATACTTCATTTATATCAATCATCTAAACATATTATTTTAATGACTTAATGCTATAAAGGTAATTTTGAACTCACCAAACTTAAGTCTTATGTTTTTTAGTTCTTTTTCTTCCTCGATACGAGCCTTTTGTAATAATTCTTTGGATGTTAAATTCAGTTGCAATGTGTCGATAATCAAATTAGCGACGTCCATTTCTTGTAATCCGAGGATTTGTAAACGCAAATCATCAGGAAATACTTTACCACAATTATTGGCAATTCTTGTAAACGTTTTTCTATGAATGCGTTCCGTATCTAAACGCAACGAAATGGCATATACATACACATAAGTATACCATCATAGACATATAAAACAACTAGATAAACGGTCACAGGATAATATTGAGGTCGGCTGCTATATACCAACAGGGCAAAATTGCATGATTGATAATATATAATATGTATTCGCAATATATACCTATATCAAATAAATATGTATACCTAGGTTTTTTATCTATCGAGTTTTTTGTAAACATCGACCTGTTCTCTTTAATCTTTATTCTATGGTCTTGTTGACACATGGCCGCACGTAGAGAGCCTATTAAGGTAATAAATTTAGTAATAGGCTCTCTAGCCGCACGACTTCAACGTTCCTGTGGGAATGTAACATGCAGTCCGCTATCTAGTTGTTTTTTTGTCTATGAAATATACATACTGTCACATACTATCATAGAAAATAACACAATAACATGATATGTGTTAAGTAGAAAATTTAATTATAGGTACCTACATCAAAATATCAAATGTACTTGTTGACTTAAATATAAAATAAAAACTGCTAACTTTATTCATTTAAAATTTCTCATTACTTTGTAAAGAAAAAATAGTAACATTTGTCTGGTTAAATATGTTCAATTACAAGTTTTTAATTCTTATTATTTATTTTATCAGTGTTCTCTATATCGCATTATATTAATACAAATTCCTCTTATCAGAGTGATGTGAATGTATACTATTATTTATTATACTTAGCTAACAAAAAATAATGTCAATCTAAGCTTAAATTCCAGCATTTTGAACGTAAATGGTTTTACAGCAAATATACCCTTAATTTCCCACATTTTCGGTAGGTCTCGTATATATTAAAATTACCTAACACTAAATCGGAATTGGAATTATTAGAAGATTTCTTGTCCACACTCCACGGATCCAGTCTTCAATTATTCTTCAACCCCATTTATATAAAGAAAGATTTAAATATTATTCAAGCCAACAAAGTTTTGCTTTTAAATATTCTGTTGTTTTAAATACTAAATAGTAAATAGCACGGCTCTAATTTCCGAAATTATGAAACTCGGCACCTCTCTTCATGACAAAAACCTTTCAAATTAAAATAAAAATCACCACTATTCCAATTCTACAAAAAAAAAAACATTAATCCCGTCGCTCATTAAACAAAAAAACATTCCCTATTGTTTTAGTTATCTATTTTGTACACTTCTAAGTTATAATTATTGAACCATCCTAGTTTATAATGGTATCTAATAATTATCATAATAATCAATATCATGATCCATAATTCGCTCGATGTAAAATATAAAGCTTATAAAAGCATCATATTATTATTTGTTTTCTCTTTATTAAGTACAATAATTGTTGTTTATTATTATTATAATGGTAGGTACCTACAGACCCGTCATTCTTATGTTCTATTGAGTTATGATTGTAAAATCTACAAGTACAATATTCATTATAATAAAATACCTATATAGTGATGATAATATTTAAAAAGGTTTTTCATAAATTTGAACACTTATTGTAATTAGCCTGCTAGCCGCTAAGGGTGCTAACATAAGCTAACAAGGGGAGTACAGCCTAGTTGCGGCAGCTATAGCAGTGAACTATTAGCATACCTAGTGATACTATTATTGATCTCGTCTATGTACGAATCAATGTATGGATCATTAAATGTATAGCCGTATAATAGGTAGTAGGTACACGTATTAAATGACTCCATATTGTTTTTATAAATATATAATATATATTTTACTCACCTATAAGAGTTCCGTCCAAATTAAAAATTACGTGAGTCACAGGTTTAAATACCGGTATACTCATTGTTGGAACAGTTGAATGTCGATCACACTATGCGTCTATCTCTAAAATTTTTAACACTGTAACCGATATTAAGTTCCTAACATGAAATATTATAATATGGTATCTACACGCTAAGGTGTGTCAAAGTAAGATGTATTTAGCTGTTTAAAACATGAATTCAGGTAGGTACTGGATACGGAACGAGACAACTGAAAACTGTGAAGCCAATCAGCTGTATACGATTCTCGCTGTTTTATATTCCCGCTCTTTTTTGAAATTTTATTGTTTCTAATTTGTATCTTTATATTTATTTATAAATTAAGAATAATAGCAACCCACGTTTAATAAAATATTTTGTAATTATGCATGATATATTCTTTACATAAAACAAAAGTGAGATTTTTGATAGTACGATAATAAGTAATAATTTGAAATTTGAATTTTGAATTATTATTTCATCGTTTGTGTTTAATATATGTATAAAATGCAAAATATAACAAAGTAAAAATAAAAAAACCGTGGAACGAGTTCCTATCTGTATAGTGTGTAGTATAACTGTGCAAATCTCGTTGTTGAATATCTATATCGTTGTAATAGATGTGTTAAACTTGACATTAATTTTGGAACTTAAAACTTTGATGAAATTATAGTCTTGTAAAATAAAACTTTTTATTTTGGATTCTGAACATTCATGATACATTGATGCATATTATATTAACTGTGTACAATGATGTGTGTGTTTTTGTTTTTGTGTCTTACACATTCTAGTAGAAAAATCATTTTACCTCAAACAAAAGGCTTTAGAATGTTGATTAGTTTTCATTAAATTGAATTTGATATAATAACTGCTAAACGCTATTACACCTCATAAGTATTGAGTACCTATAATAGTTAATCCTATTAGTTTCAATTGTTTTTATTAATTTGTTAAACTCCCATGCAAGTTGTTTGAAAAATTATGTTGTACATAACATATTTCTGAAGTATTGTTTAAAATAGTCGAAGCTGTAAGATCTAGAAAATACCAGCCTAGTGCCCCTAAAAAAAAACTCTTAACACCAATACTAATCTGATGAGGAAGACTATGGTAACAAATCATAATTTGGTGAATAGGTATAGATAGGTACTACTAAGTAGTAAGTACTAATACCTATTAGGTAGGTACCTCCTAATTATTACAAATTATTGAAGTACCTACTAATTCTAGTCGTATGGTTTGAAGTTGAAATTTATCTCTGGAAACCAAGCTAATGGATGGGTGTCTCACGATCACGAAATAATAATATGAACATTGTATTTGTTAATTTCGGTAACATATTTTACCTACCTAGGAAAGAATTCTTGGACTTTAAAGTCTATTGGTATAGTGTGGTTCTAATTTTTAGATGCCTATTTATGTAAGTGTATATAATATAGGTTATATAGTCATATAGAACTTAAATTGTTACACATTACCAAATACCAGTCTACTTAGTCAGTAGGTACCTACCTAACCTATTAAGTATTATTATTGTATACGATGTATAGGTACCAAGTACATAATAATATGTCTTTTTGGGTAATATGGAATTGATTTCCGGGTTAAATAAAGTGTGGGTACAAGGACGAATTGTTTCGAGGTGAAAATCACTTATCATTATACAACTCTTTGAATTAGTTCCCATAAGTGCATACATCGGTAATCGTATGATATTGTATGTATAAGGTTTTAGTGTTGTATCTTGTACGATATCTGAAAAATTATACCTATCTAACAGATAGATTAGAATAAAAAACTAATCGGTGAAAATATAAAAAATTGAATGACTACCAATTTTCAAACTTTTAACCGTCCAAAATGTGTGTTGTAAAAACATACGACATTAATTTTTAAAATATTTTTTTGTTGTAATCAACCAACCATTATTATGATACCAACTATTATAATATTGATATCATTACTTTATCATTACGAGCATTGACAAATATTTGTAAGTAGAGTACCTATATTGGCTATATTATAGAATATAGATCATATCAGTGTTTGGAGAGAACGTTCATGTTCATGTTTAGACGTTTAGTGAACGATACGCGAACGTCACTCGTTTTTTTCAAATTGAATGTGAACGTGAACGACGTTTATATTTTAATGAATTTGAACAATTTTTAAGACACTCAATTTATTTACCATTAGTTAACATTTTGTTTTATATAATAAGATTTTCTTATGTTAATTCCTGTCATAAAAAAACTGAATGAACGACCCAGTGAAAGCATTCATTTTTTTAGTGAACGTTCCGACCAGGTTAACACTTAATAATATAATAATTAATAATAAACCTAATGAAGGTATTAATATGTCAACACCTAACTGACTAGCAACGACATGTTTAGCACTTGATTTTTAACGTTTAACCATACTTAGGTATTCTAGAGAGTCCATGGGAAAAAAATTATTATATTATCGTTATGACTTACGAAAGTTTTCAAATGTGGCAGGAAAAACAAACCAAAAACTAAGGAAAACCTGTTTTTGATATAACTCTAAAAAAAATACCGTAGATACATGAAATTTTTACTGAATGTTTATATTCGCATTTCTATACACCATAACATTTTCAAAATATTTTGAGCTATATATAGGCATAAGAAATTTCCAATTACGTATTATAAGATTTTTAAATTAATGACGATACCAAATTTTTCGCTTTGTAAAAAAACTTGAAAATGTAATACAAGGTTCCTCGTAGGTTGTCATGAGAGGAAATTAAAAAAAAAGTTGAGCGTAAATCCATAATAAATTTTTATGAGAGTTTCAATTTAGAATTTTGGCAACATTGGATATTCACTCAATTTCTCATATTGTTGTAATTGAATAACGGCAGATACTTGAAATAGGTAGTTGAAATGTACACCATATGTTTATTTCATCAAATCATATTATACTTGATAAAATTTTCAAAATATATTGACTCGTTTTGAGCTGGTTACGAATATTTTTAATCTTGATTTTTTTTAGCTTTTTCTTTTATGAATACCAATGTTACAATATCAGTTGAAACATATTAAAAATACATAGGTACTATTTTGTTTGATAAGTCTTTAAAGTTCAAATTTTGACAAAATATATCAAATTGAAATTGTACAAATTATTTTGTAGTTAAATATTTATAAATTTTAACTTTTATAGCTATGGAGTATGGATCAAAAAATTAAAAAATATATCAACAATTTTTTTGGTGGTTATTTTATGTTCAAATTTGGCCAAAATTACATATTAGGTAAATAACCTAGAATAATGATTTAAGTTATTATGTTGTAATTTAAAAATATTATTAGTGGTTAGATAGGTACTTGAAACTTTAAGAATATATTACTATATTTTATACACTCAATGACTTTCCAAATGTAATTTTTTTTTGCAAAAATGAATTTAACCTACTGTAGTACTAATGCTTAAAAGTGAAATTTCTGTCAAATATCTTAAATTACAAAGTAATATTATAGGCTGACAGACTGTCTTAGCTCAGAATTGTTTTTTGTATACAATGATATACAAATGTGACTCCATCCGTTCCAGTGACCCACTTGTAACCTACTGTACAGCAGAGATAGTGTAGTACACTTACACACTTTTTCATTTTATTACGGCACCTCTTTTTTATTGTCTTTCAAGCCTATGTCTTCCTTCCTCCGCCCTTTTTGAAAACCTAATGCCCTGGTCTGCTATTGTGTGCCTTTTTTAATAATTCTATTACAATAACAAAGTTAATCTTAGAAATAGTGATGATGGTTGATAGTTACCAAATACTTATTGAGAAATATCTCTGTAATATCAAAGTCTGTTAATTAATGAAAACATGCCTATTAATTAGTAAGAAATCATAATGTTTAATTTGAAAACAGATTGGTCATGTTAAGTCTGACAGAATGTGTTTGATATAATTAATTTATATTTTTAATAATAAACAATTTACATTATACATATATTATTCAAAGCATTGATCACAGAGCTTAAAATAACTTTTTAACTAAAGAACATAGGTACCCACCAATTTGTATTATAAATTACAGCTTGTTTTAGTCACTTGCACTTTGCAGACATAACTAGAGTACATAATATGCTAATATTATATTGGATAGCTGAGTAGATATGAATAGTCTGTTCATCATGAAATATTTATTATTTATCAATTTGGTATTCTATATCACTTTAGTATTCACTAAATGAAAATTAGATTCAAAAATGGCTTATGCAATAAATATGTTGATCCCAATTCACATTTATTGCAATCAATCATACTCAGTAGTAGATACTAATATAGCACATAATAATGTCTACAGTCTATACTGTACTTTTATAATATAGACATCTGTGGTACTGGGAACCTAAATAGATGATAATGTAAAATCATCAAACAAACAATCAATCAATAAAATTATAAAAGTACTGATACAAACATTCTGTCAGACATAGGTAAAAAATTATTTTTGAGCAAAAGAGGTATAATTATACGACAAATAACTCTATCAATAATAGATCATCTTAGAACATTTTATCTAAAATAGTAATTCATTTTCCAGTAACTTTTAACTCTGTCGTTTTAATATATCTCCTATATCTTCACCAGTTTAACATGTATCGTTTCTTTATAATAGCAGAGATATTTCAAACTTAACTCAGAAATGCTGGGTCAATGTCAGTTCTGGGTATAAATAAAATCATTTCAAGACAGACTAATGAATTTAATAATTTTTCAATATATTTAAATTCTAACAAACTGCACTATAGGCAATAGGTACAAATAACAAAAATAAACAATTTTTAGACGCCTAAACTCAATAAACCAAAAACAATAAATTGTGTTCTTCAGGAAAAATATACCAAAAGGTAAAAATATATTAATAGTAAAGTAGTCAATTAAATGATGGCAAACCAAATGCTTCTGGAACAAAATCTTCTATACTACCTAACACTAGAGTTGCTTCAGTACAAGAATCTTTTGGCAACAAATTATCTGGTACCATCACTACTTGCATTCCTGCTTCTTTAGCACCTCTTACCCCATTTGGAGAATCTTCAAATACTAAACACTAAAAAGGGCAATAAGTTAATGAGATACTAAATCATCCTTATTTTCACAAGAAAACGGGACTGTGTTCTAACAAAACTGGTTGCCGCCAATCATCCCCTACCAAAACACATATTATGGTTGATGCCTATGTGGAGCGAATTTCATGGCTCAACAAACTGTCTTGAGTTAATTTGACAACTATGTAATATATCAACTCTATAAACAGTCCCGTACCCTCATGAAAATAAGTTAAGTAACAAATGTACAGTATATAAGTAAGTACCTTATTTGGATCTGGCTGGTCAGGAAACCTAGAGGCACATTTAAGAAATATATCTGGTGCAGGTTTTCCATTTTTCACCTCTGGATCACATCCTCCACAGACAATATGGTTAAAAAGTGAAAACAATGATTTATGTTTTGAAGTTTTCAAATCAAAACTTTTTTTAGTACTGCTAGTCGCTATAGCAAACGGTATTTTGTTTTTGTTAAGATGACGCACAAGCCGATCTACACCTGAAATATTTTTTACTATTTTTAGTTCAAGAACTATAATATTATGCTACAATATTATAGATTGGTACTAAATTTAGTTGTTACACTAACATAAACCATTTTTCAGATATAAGTTAAGATTTATATTTTAAAGATATTTTTTGGTGCATAGATAATACATTTTACAAACCTGGTAGTATACCAACATCTGATAAAACTTTATTTTCAAATGCATGAACCATGATTATGAACTCTTCAACTGATATTGGCAAATTTAATTCATTAACTATCATCTTCGCTCCATCAAATTCAGGTGCGCCTAAAACTCTATAACGTAAGTCAAGGTTGTAGGTCTTACCAAATTTAGATGCCACTGCTGTTACTGACTGCTTGTGAATATTTTCAGTGTCTATATTTACATAATAGTAACAAATAATTGATTATTAAATAAAATAATTTAGTATAATGATGATTGATGATCAATACCTAGAAGTACACCGTCCATATCAAAAATGACATGAGACACGGGATTTAATTTTTTGGTACTAAATGAACGACAAACATTTTTGACAATTTGAGTAATTTCTACAGGTAATCCTGAAATGTATTTAATAATTATTAGATTTAATCCAAATACCTAATATGATAGATTAACTTACTCATTTTTGTATGAAAGTTTAAAAAAATTTACTCAAAGCAAAATATTAAATAATCACATTATTTATTAATCAGTTACAGTCTACAGAGATAAGACTAGATTGTTAACAAACAGCTGATTCATACAAAACACTAAAAACAAGTCAGCAGTTTAAATCAATTTCAAATAATACAATTATTAAATAATAAATATTAATATTTCTATTTTGTTTACTAATAAATAATAATATTATTAAACAATTTTATGGATAGTTAAAATTTGACAGTCAAGGAAAAGGAGGTAGCCCAAAATCTTCAGGTTTAAAGTCCAACAATGAAGATATCACTTGAGTAGCATGAGAAGTTTTCTCCACAGGAATTATTTTATCTGGAACCATAACAGCTTGCATGCCAGCAGACCTTGCCCCTGTAACTCCATTTGGAGCGTCCTCAAATACCAAACACTGTAATCATCAATTACAATTTTTTTTAAGTATTATGAAACTAAACATGTCATTAAAATATTGCAACATCAAAGAATAGCCTACTTTTTGTGGTAGAGGTTTATCGTCAAACCGCGATGCACAAACTAGAAATATGTCCGGGGCTGGTTTTCCTTGTTTTACTTCTGGATCTGCACTACCAAGTACAATGTGATGGAATTTTGAAAATATGTGTTGATAGTTTGCTGTTTTCACTTTGAAAGTATCTTTACCGCTACTTGTAGCCACAGCTATTGGCACATTATTGGTATATAGATGATCGATTAACCTTTCAGCTCCTGCAAACAGTCTTTATAATACTGGTAAACGACAAATCATACACAAAATAGACTCAAACCTGGCAAAAATGGAACATTTTCCATTTTGACGATCTGATTTTCGTGGAATTCAGCAAGAAGATCGACCGGATCTATTTCCATTTCCAGTTCTTTTATTATGATTGTAGCCGTATTGATTGGTATCGTGCCCATAACGCGGACTCGTAAGTCGTTAGGGTAGTCTTTGCCATGATTTTTCAGTACTTCGGTAATGCTGGACAAGTACACCTTTTCCGTGTCTGAAATGCGAAATTGACAAAATAATTATTTTGTACAATACTATGGTACCATCTGACGACGCGAAGGTGCACAAAAAACATTTCTACTTTCATTGTGGCATCGAAATTAACTTAGACAAACACTCACCTAAAAGCAGACCGTCCATGTCGAATATGACATGAGTCACGGGCGTATACTTGGACATGGTATTATTTTGATTTTCAGCGACGCACCTCCAACACACACGAACAATGAAAGAAATAAACAAAATATAAAATTTGGTTCTGTAGAGAACACAAAAATTACAAGCACTTCGAAGACCGATTGATTAGTCAGTGTTGGTAATTAAAATTATTTCGATCTGTTTCTATTCCGTTCGTCCTATTTATATTCGCGAGAATCGCACGCCCAACACCACCGCCGTCGCGAATTTGAACGTTTCTACTTTCGCCAGACGTCTCTATAATAACATTATTACAACAGCTACAACACTATAGTCGGCAGCCGTAGCGCACAGTCGGTACGTCGTGTCGGCCGTGGGGGCGCTGCTCTATATCGTTTTCGTATTTTCGTCCCGGCCTGTTAATCGTTATCATAGTAATATTATTATAATCATAAATCACGGTCCTAACTTTTCGCGGTCCAAGCAATTGAATGTAATAATATTTATGTATATAAAACCTGCCCGCCTGGGTATTAGTGGTGGTTTACAAATCATAATAATACGGTATGGCGGCAGCTGGGAGTACCGCCTTTGATTACGGCAAATGGCTAAATATGGCATAATATTAATATATATTATGCTCGCCTTACAAGTTACAACCACACCACGTCTTGTAAGTTGTAAACAAGACAGTGCTTTAAAACAATGTTGTATACATTAAACCTTGCCTGTGGGCTATGGGTGTACCATACCCTATAGCCGTACGGTGTACAACACTACGGTACATTCATACCTATCTCATCAGTCTTGACTGAATCATAAAAACATATTGTACAAAATAAATTTATTATTACTAATTTGTCGCGAGCACATAATAATAAGTTCATCGAAGAAAAAAAACATTTCAAAATATCAAGACAAAAATCGCTCGCGGTGAGAGAAAAAATTAATTACGTGACCATGTCAGTAGAGCGGCGAGCCGGACGTGATTGTTAATAACAATTAACAATATATTGATATTTAAATATTATGCAGTAATTGATAACGATGTAAACGACCTTCGGCTAGCGCGATCGTTTCACATTCACAATAATTCGTCGTCGTTATGAGTTTTGACGGCAATAAATACACCCTACATAATATACAAAGTGATCCATTTTAGTGAGCATTCGTCAACACTCTACTTTACATGTTATCTATGCTCACTATTGAAAATTTTTTTAATTTTTTCAAAATATTATTTTTTCTCAGATGTTTACAATTAGTTGTTATTTTTTAATTTTCGATTTTTTGAAAGACAACATACTCTTTAATGTTTTAAATATAGTAAGAACACTTTATACCCTCGTTGTGTATGTTCGTTAATTATCATTATAAAGACCGTATGTAATAGATATTGCAACATTTAATATTGATATAAAATGTGTACACGAATCATACTGATTGCAGTCTTTCTATTTAATTTTTTGGTACAACTTGTAGCAATTTTAAAAAAATTTCAATCTTTATGCACTTCACGTGAACAATTATACAAATTGTTAATTTTTTAGGTAATTCAACAGTATATGTGACTAAGATGTAAATTTTCATAAGATGATTTTTCCTAATAGTAGAGAACTAGAGAAGCGTTCAATATATACGGCCATACACTTACATGAGTGTCGTGATGTTATTAATATATCTATAATAATAATTAACCAGCGCCTAGCGTATTACAGGCCCTGATGGGAAAATAGTTAAAGATTAAATTAAATATTATGTCTTAGATAAAAATGAAGGACATAAACTGCTAAGACTTACTAATTTAGATGTAACATCAATTTTTTTTAATTCTTTAAATTATGTACCGATATTCGATAACAAGTGTAGACGTTCAACGTACTATTTCATTAAACATACTTAAAGTTACAGACGATACAATTTTCAAGACCATAATTTAGAAATGTATATAATCATACACTTTAATTCAGAATCATAATACATTTTAATTTTTAAATACTTTTAATACTATTTTATATTTTTGTAATTTGTTAATGTTCAACATGTTATTTAAGTAAGTAATTAAGAATATTGTATATTTTTTATGATATTATATAATTTTATTATGTAGGTAGCTTAAATATATATATTTATTGCAACTTTGACATATTTAAAAGCAATTTTGTCATATTTTGAACACAATTATATCCGGTCTATAGTCATAAATAGATTCAAATGCTTTAAACAAGAACATTTCTTTAAAAATACTATTCAATGCATTCACGCCTAACAGAAACTATGTATTTCTTCTATCTTATTTTTACTTGAAAATTGTATCGGTAAAAACATAATAAATAACGGAAACAGAAGTACGACGAGGCATAAATTATATTTTTTATGTTATTCTTTTATAATTAATTTTAACTGAATGTTTATTAAATGTTATCCATTCTTCCAGAAAAATGCTCTAAAAAGTAAAAAAAAGCTTTAATTAATTAATTAATTAATTACATTTAGAAACCGGGAATTTAGAACGCTCGCAGAGTGAGTTTTTCTAACATGTTTAATTTCATATTCCAAAGCAGAATATTTTTTGCAGTATTTTGAAACATATAAATCGAATTTTGAACGAGTAGTTAATTAGTTATAAATTATAAGTGTTGATTGTTATTTCTCATAAAGCCGGGCGCACACCAGATCAGAACAGTGTTTACAAAATACAAATGAAACATTATCAATCAATAAGTATAAACAAATAGATATTTAGATGATATTCAGAGCAGTGGATGCTCGGTGGTGGTGATGCTGTGACCTGTGCGCAGTGGCCAGTGGGTATGATTCATGGTAGTAACTACTAACTAGTAACTGTTTTAACTTACAAGTTAACCTAAAGTTTTAACGATTGTTTTTTAGGTGGACTACAACTACTAGACTGTAGAGTATAGAGTAGCAGATTGGCACATCCACACATCCACAAAATGCGGCTGATCTCCGCACATATAAACTTTAAATATTTAGAAGTTATAAGATATAACTTTTAGCTAATTAACTACTCGTTTGAAATTCAATTTTTATATATTCAGGTATCGAAGTACTCCTTAAAATACACTACTTCGAAATATGAAATTAAAAATTGAGTTCCACTCAGAATCTAAGTTATATATTTATACAAATATTTTTTTTAAAAAATGTTGTTTTGCAATGAGACTCAATTATGCCAAAATAATAATAAGTAGACACTTAAAATAGTTAAAATTGATCACCTTGTATAGTATCATAGCATCACATATTGGCTATTATACTACCTATATAATATCTATACAATATATTAATATTGGAACATTTATAACATCGATGCCGATGAGCGAGTATCTTGTAATAATTATTCATAAATACATAATCATTAATCTTCGACTCGTTCAATTATAGCTATAAATGTATAATAATATACATGTAGGCTTAAATGCAAATTTGTTTCGTCGTCGGCGGGTTTCTTAATTTTCAATAGGCCTTCAACCGCGTGCGGTTACCGCAAACTGACCACCGGCGATCAACGAACAACGATCGATTCGTACGTGTTTCTCGTGTTATACTGTAATAAGTATCTAACTAATAAGTAATAACTATAGTAATAGTAGTCTGTAAAAGCGTATTAAGTATTCACGTCATTCAGCAACCAGTTTCCTACGGCCGAAAAAAACGGTCGTTCCCGCATGTCCAACATAGCAGTCTGGTACTCTTGGTACTCCGACTCCCTCCCCACCAATGGACTTGCGACTTGTTGTCGTCATCGCGTGGTCGTTTTTCGCGCGCGCCGTGTTTCGACGTGCCTGTCGTCAGCGGTTGTTTATGCACACGCCGCCGCCGTTTCGGAGCGAGTAGTTTATTTAGAATTTCAATCCTTTGTCTCCGAATTTTTTTTATTCTGGTCAGGTTAAACGAGGAAATAGCCAAAAACGAGTCTTTTCATTAATTTTTTATTTCGTATTGCCTGGAATGTCGTCGCAAAATTGTATTTGCATAAATTAAAAAAAAAACACGCGCGAAACTTCTGTAAGAAAACCGGATTTCTATCGTTAGAACGGGAAAAACGCGCGATTCACGTTTGCCACCCTGAACACATGTTGATTACGGTGAGTGATAACCGCTGTTGTTTGTGCCCGTCCCCGTCGCCGCCGCCGCCGTCCAATTTGGAGGACACTCCCAGTTTTGACTTTTGTTGTCTTTTTTCAAAACTTGAATCTTCAGTCCGCGTTTTGATGTACCAGTGATTTCTATGGCCAAGTCCAGGAACGGTCTGACGGCCGTTGGCCTGTCGGTTTTGGGAGCGTTTTTGGTCCTGTTGGCGTTCACGACGAAGAGCTGGTTGGTCACGGATGGGAAATTAGAGCACCCGAAATTCGAAAGGATCGGTTAGTATAGCGCGCGCGCAGGCTGGTCACGCCCAAATTAGGGGCGCTTACATAGAAATTCGCCTTTTTTTGGTCCCTCCCGTTGATTAGAAGATTTCGCCTGGCGCGAAACGAAATATTTGCAGCCCAGGTGTCTACAAATGCGCCATCTGTGCTAAGGGTTTAAAAAAATGCGCTCAAATATCTTTAATGTTATCCACAAATTGTTAGTAATACTTAATTTTTGGGCTCTTGTACCGTATTAAAATTGATACAATAAGTCTAATTTTTTGATTATATGGTTGTTTGAAATTTAATTGGTAGAATGATAGCTTTATTTATTGTATCCTTTAGGTATTCTGACAAATTGGTTTCTAGCCATTGGGGTCACTGGCCTTTTTGTTCAATCAGTTCTTGCAGTTGAAACTTAAACTCATGAAAAATGTTGAGATATTTTACACAACAATATTTTTATACATTAAGCATTTATACATTTATATAACTTTCAAATGCTTAGAAATTACAGCTATCTAATTCTAATAGATACCCGACTGTGCTCTGGAAAAAATCCAAGGCTGTATATTTAATTTTAATCAAATTTTTGTCGTTTGAACTAGATGTTATGTTTTCTTGTCTAGATAAGTAGTACCTACTACCTATGCTTAATTATGATAATTTGTATTTCCTTCATACTTGAAAAACGGATTCACAAAGAAACATTTTTTTTCAATTGATTGTAAGGTTATACAAGTATAATATTATTTAAAATAATCCACTAGTAGGGTTTCAATTTTATGGATAATTTGATTGCATTTTTACAATAATACTATCCAAATTTGTTCGTTCTTTTTTATTAGTATTAATATAACTAAATATTAATAAAATATTATTAAATAATGATTGTTTCAAGTTTCTTATATTAATTATAAGCTAATCTTTATACTAACTATAATCAAAAGTGAATGAAATAAGGTATTTAATTACAATTTGTTTAACTGTTTTCTCATCCATAGGTCTATGGGTAGTATGTTTTAAAGAATTTGAGGACTCTCATCATTGGTACGATACAAAATTCCACAGTTGTTGGTGGGTATTTGAAGAAGAATATTATATTATCTATGATATTTTATTCAAAGGTTTGTTTATGACATCGTTTCTTTTCTACTTTTCATCCATAATAAATAAAGTTTTGTACTTGATATGTGAGATTTGAAATTAATAAAAAAATTTTCCTCAGGTTTTTATATTGCTACTCAGTTTTGGTTCTCAGCTTGTGTTCTCTTAACAGTATTTGGTTTATTCTACACTACACTTTATATGTATCTAAATAGAGCTTATGAACGTTATGTTCAAATTCTATTTACAGCTGGAATTCTTTACATAGCTGCAGGTAAAACATTGTGTTATGTTGTCTTATAATTTATAACATACCCAATAATTTGATAACAAATATTATTTTTAGCCATATGCAGTACTATTGCTCTGATAATATTTGGAATACATGGAGACAGTAGAGTATGGATGCCACATTGGGAACACAATGATATAGGTTGGAGCTATGGAGTAGCAGTCGCAGGAACTATTGCCCTTTATATCAGTGGGGTATTGTATGTAATAGAGGGAAGGGCACATAAGATTAAGCGTCAAAAAATGGCTACTCAAAGAGCCAACTACAACTATGATGCCGATGACTTAAAACAATCGTCTCACACTGACATATAAATCCTCAAATTTTTATTTTCAAATCTCTAGTAGCAGCATCTGCACATTTCCATTAATTTATTTTTAATGAACATGTACAGTGAGCACTTTTTAAACATAGACTCATTGACATTCTTCAAATGTCTGCATGAATGATTCACTTTGCACAGAAAACACTTGATATTTATTTTGGATAACAAATATTATTAAGTATAGTATGAACGGGCACTTATGGATTTTTATTCTTAAGAATGGCTTTTTGAAACAATTTGTTACTTTGTAGTTCATGCAATTATTGACAAACTGTAATACATTTATTATAGATCTTACTCTGAATTTGATGTGCAATTTATATTGGATAGGTATATACAACTTTAAACACAAGAATCTCAAGTATTTAGTTTGAAATCTACGAATTTCAATAATAATTATTATTTATTATATGAGAAATAATTGATTTTTAATTTTTCGTAAGACTTAAAAAAATAATAATTGAGAATTTTGTAAAGTAAAATTGTATAAGGTAATTTATTTATATTTTTTTATGGTTAAATTAACAATTATCCGTCCATTTAATTCTAAGTTAATTTTAGTGACTATTGCTACACAATTGCAGCAACATGTTCAACAATACTTTTACATTTTTGTAATTCATATTAGGTCACCATGTATTTTTTATACTAATTTGTTAAGTATGCCTTAAAATTGTTATGGATTAAAATTGTAATACGTAAAAAATAAACTGTCCTGTGATTACATAATTATTGTTTATATAAAGATTTAAGTTGTTCTAATTGAATACTCCTCACAATTAGATCTTATGATTGTATTAAAATGAAACCATGCCGTCTGTTTAGTATAGTAGTTGAGTAGAGTAGTTCTTTGAATGAATAATACAGTCCATTTTTTTTTTGTTTATGAATTATATGTTTAATTTATGTTATAAACTGGTGAATTAAGTCCAAGATCTGAATTTTCAAGAAAATCAAAAAAATTAGAATTCACCTAACATTAATAATTAATTTTCTTACCATGTATAAATAATAATTAATAAGTTGTGGTTTTTTTGCGAAATTGAACAGTGTAATTTTTTTTTAATTTTAAGCTTTCCTATGTTACTAATTAGTATTTTATTTTTTTATGTATAAATTCGAGAATTATGAATTTCATACTCGTCATACCAAGGCTACATATCATTTACTTTATTATTATTTTTACACCTGTTTTGAAATTTATTTATTTGTATTTTTTATACGTACGACCCGAATTAATAACAAATATACATATAATACATATTTTATATACTATATGACTTTTGATTGGGTTTCATCCGTGTTTCTCGTATCTATGTGTGTGACGTGTGTCACTGTGGCTACTCAACCGCCCGTCCCGACGAAGCGCTGCCTAATTTATGCCTCGTTTGTGATGAAATACGATGGTTTTTATAGCCGCTATTATCGTTGCGTTTCACTTAGTTTTTAGTAAACAGTAAGCACTAAACATACTTAAACGACCGTCGAAAAATCCTTGGGCGCGCTCGGCGGGACGTCGTCGCCGCCTACCCTTGGAACAACTCTACACGCGCACTTAATGCCCATTCGGCCGCAAAGAATATATCAATGCAGTACAATAGTTATATAGTATTGTCGTTCCCACGTGGTCGCGTACGTTTGTGGTTCCCACGTTTGATGGTGCGAACTAAGAGTACGCTAAAGTCACTCGAAACCAGGAGACCTTCCGACGACCGGGGTTAACCATACTGTATATAGGAAAGTACCTAATAATTTGGTTTTAGTATTTTATGTTTTTCTCCGACAAATTCGTCCTCGAGCTAATAGCTGTATTACTATAGTTGCCCATCGACCACGTATCGTGTTTATTTTACGAAATTTATTAGCATGAGCTAGGCATAAGGTAAAGTTCAGATAGTTGTACTATATTATATAATTTCCACGATCACGATAATGTGACCGTGGCCCGTTGGAAAGAAGGCGAGCCTCTCGAGACGACTATATAATATAAGCATGTAACATTAAATCATAGAAAAGACATATCATGTAAGATTTAACTACTAGCTATTGTAAATTTGTAACTAATGATAAATTATGTACGATATACATATACAGCCATATAGTTAGGTGATTCGATTAGTAATTAGTAATTACTAATCTTAAATTTGTATATTTTTGGCACTACTGATTTTTTGGATATAAATTGATATAAAGTACACCTTTACAAGTACAGTGAATTACCTATAGGCTATATTATTATTATATATATATTATAATTTATCAGGGCTTGTGGTAGTATTATTTTACCCTTGTCGCTTGTACACTCTGCCCAGTACTCGACTACCCTAGAATATTACTATTTGAAATTTTTCATTTTTTAAGACGTTTCTAAACATCGTGTCGACAGTCGACTGACTATTGTCACTCGTATTATATGCCTAAAACTTATAACTATAGATTATCCTCTGTAAACTGTGTATAGATGTACAGTAGGTAGTAATATTAATTATAGTCGCGGAGGCCGGAATACTTGATTCGTAGGTGTATTATAGTTGCTATACGTTGTCGTCGTCATCGTCGCCGCAATATAATAATTATTATGCGACGACCATCGTCGTGGTCATTCGATTAGCATAATGTGAGTATAAAGTCAAGATGTAAAACTACGTATATATATGTGTATATTTCGATTTCAAGTTTAAAAAATATATGTACCAGTAGGCCGTGGATGCGGCGGCGGTGGTGGTGGCGGAGAACAAGCTGGTAAAACGCAAAAAACTGCTGAAACCGAAACCGAAACCGTCGCCGTTTGAATCGACGCGCCCGCCACGCTCGTCCTAGGGCGTGTCGTCCCCTCCCCATAAAGACGCGATCCCGTCGGTCGTTTTCCAGATAATATAACATAACAAAACAACTGAAAACGCCAAATTCCGAGGAGCCAACGTGCCGTCGTGTTGGTGTGCGACTGCCGTCTGTCCGTCTTGTTTTTGTTTTTCCGCTAATTTTTTTGCAAATTTTTCTCCTCATAATTCAGCTCGTGATCTGTGTTAACTGCTTTTGTGTCATTAATATTCACGTAGGTTGTCGTGATCGTGTGCGGGTTCTCCTCGTTTGTCTGTCCGAGTGATGTGAAAACGTAACTTCGCCTATTTCTCAGCGACGAGAAAGATTTTTATTTTTCGTATCAGTTATCCGTTCGGATTTTTCCAGTTTCCACCGCAAACGCCGTCTCCATTACTCGAATAGGTAAATATCTAATTTAATTTTTATTTGATCTAACACGATTATTATTGATACCTTAATTTGTATTTAATGTGTGTGTATTTTTTGATTGACTACTTTAAATTTTGAATAAAAAAAATGTTAACATTGCTTTTCGCACTAATTTAGGTCTGTCTTGTGTTATGAGTGTGGCATGCCATTAACAGTTTTCGATTAACTAACATCATACGCCGCTTACCAGCACGATGCCAGGGTCAACAGTTTCCAACAATGACCTGAGGTACACTTATGGCATAATCGTTAAATTATTACCATTACCATTATACTTGTACCATCATGTTTATTGTTATTGCTGCTAGGTATCTTAAGTAATATGATTTTATGCACATGTCCTCGTTTTCAACTGCACCTATGACAAATGCTATTGTGTAACTGAAGTACACTGTTACAACTTCCGTTTATGATTTAGTGTTAATTGAATCATTAGTTAAACATAAATAAATCTCTGAATAAACCATTTTGTTATTCTATGCATATTATTTCATGATATATTACCCTCTACAAGTCTAGAACTTCTATTAAGTAATTAAATTACCCACCTGCTATTTCCAAGTATATCTTTTTTGGTAACTTGAAATGTAATTATTTGAACTATTATTGTATAATTTTTCTACAAAAATAGCTAGTTTAATTATGTACCTATGTATACCGTCTATAGATAGAACTTAGTGTTTTTCAAACATGAATGCCTTACAGTTACTTATATTAATAGCTTATTGCATGTATTTGCTATAAAAACATAATATTATACTTGTGAGATATTATATATATTCTGTATTTATGTAGTTTTACTATTATAGTATATTAAGTATTAATAAAGTAATTTAGTAATTTATTATGTAATTGATATAAGGTAAGTACTAATAATTTATGGTAATTAATTAACTCAAATAATTTTTTTTAATCATATGAAACTCAATAATCTGTTAAAAATCGTTCAATTTTAAATATAAGTGTAATTATAAACAAACTAATTGTTTCATCCCCTTACAGTTAGTAGGTAACTTATTCCTATGGGTTATACCTTTTATAATTTTCTATAGGTAGTTGGAGGATGATAAATAATTATTGACTAAGCATTCAATAATAGGTACATCAGTTAATTATTTAATTTATAATTTTTAACCTTTCAAAAAAAGAAAAAAATATTTTTAAAATTGCTCAAATAGTTGAATAAAATATTATATATTATTATTTATTATATTATATCTTATACCTATATGGTACAGAATTCATGATTTTATTTGTTACCCAATTTATCAAAAAAAAAAAAATTGAATTAATGTAATTGTATTGTAATTCATGACATACTAAGCACTGATAATTAATAAATAATACAATACCTAATAATAAAACAATAAAAATATAGTTTTAATGGGTATTAATTATTAACTTAAAAATATAGGTGACTTAACAATTAAACTGGTTGATTTAATTTATCATGATGTATTTTTATTAATACTGATAAAACTTCAATTGAAATAAATAGTTAAAAACAAATTCAAACGTTGAACAGAATTTATAACCTAATTGACGGAGGTCTTTAAACATTTGTGGCTATTATAAATATATGTTTAATAATAATATTATTACTTATCTTTATACCTATAAATTATAATCATTAGTATATATTTAATGTCTAATTCAACATTTTTCAATTGATCATATTGAGATAAAGTACCTATAGATAATTTTTTTATACAGTCTTGACTTAGAAAAATATTTGTTTTTGTAGAATGAAAAAGCGTAGTTTGGCTGGTAACGTAGCCCTTGGCTTGTACGTTTTGGCTTTAGTGTTTGTGTTCATTGCATTTTTTTCGACCAGTTGGTTAGTCAGTGATGGGAGAATCACAGGTATTTATTTTTTTTAACCTATTTTTTTAACTTTTCATTTTATGATATTTTTGAAACTTTTATTTAGGTGCAAAATTAGAAAGTTTTGGACTATGGACTCATTGTTTTCGCTCACTGCCTGACCCCAATGACCCGGCAGAACGAAGGTTTTTTGTTGGATGCCACTGGATTTTTGACCCTTTTACCAAGGGATATGATGAAATCAAAGGATTTTTGTTACCATGTAATTAAATTAATATTATGCAGTATCTCAACATTTTAAATCCTTCAATTTGTGTTTTTTTTAGTTTACATAGTGGCAACTCAGTTCTTTTACACGATTACATTCCTAGGAACATTAGCATCAGCTGTTGGTTCATCGATGTTTCTTCTATGTTGTACACCTGATGAAAAACGTTTTATACAAATAACTTTTGCGTTGGGAATAACATTGATTGTATCTGGTAAATTCAATGTTTATATATTGCTATAAATATTCATATTTTGTAACTATACAAATTTTATTTTAGGCGTATGTGCTGCAATATCAGTGTTAATATTCGCCTTGTTTGCCAACCGCCCAGGTTGGATGCCTGGCCACGACAACAACTTCTTTGGTTGGGCATTTGGTGTAGCTATTGCAAGTTTCTTTGCTTTACTTGGATCTGGAGCATTTTATTTGGTAGAAACAAATATACAAGTGAAAAAAAGAAAATATTTGAAAGAATCACAAACTAAATTTGACATGGAGTCCAAAGGATAAGATAAAATTAATTTTTCATTTTTAACCAAAAATATTTCTAATCTATACCATTAGGAAATGTTTTTGATAGTAACCTTTAGCCCGATCAGTATTAAATTATACTATTTCCAAAATCTGATAGCAGTTATTTTTATGAAACTAATAATCTCATTTTTGTTTAAATTTACACTATTATCTATACTATTTTAAATTATTTAAATCTTATTGTGATAAAATGTGAATAAATAAAATTATTTGACTGTTATATGAAACCGACTCCGTCCATTTAAAACGAGTATTATTGCAATAATATTAGTTATATATCATTATTATGTGTACACTTTATTTAGTTTTAATATTTGAATTTCTCACATCTGTATCAAATAACTGTTAAAAATAAAATAAGTTTTGTAATTTTAAGATATTATATTATGCATATTTATTTTTTTTTTTTTATGCAAGCTTGTATTTAATGTAGCTAAATACTTGCATTATTAAAATATTTAGTTTTAAGGACATCCTGTGCTACAGTTACAGGATTCATCGCTGTAAGGGGTGAACACCATTCATTTTCATTTTTCTTATGCAATCTAATTTTTTAAGACTTGTATTTGGTTGATATTTTTTTAGTTTATTTTATTTTATCTTAGAAACTAGATGCATTGATATTTTATGAAACCATTATTATATTATTTAATACCAAACCACTGCACATTGATTCTAAATTAAGTATTCTTTTACCATTATTGCTTATCAAAAGTAATGTAATACACTTTCTTTTCTATAATGCCAAATATGTATATTAATTTTTTTATGAGTACCTATTATGAATAATACAGTTATTTCCAAGTAATATAACATAGCTAATAATTTAGAAAATCCTAATAAGTAATAAATACAACTTTGACAAAAAATAAATGAGAAATTTCTGTAAACTATTTAAACTTTAATTTTTTGTGATGGTTTTATTGTTAATACAATATTAAAGGTTGCTTTATGATAATTTTTTAAAAACTATACTTTTAGTGATGTGTTTATCAAAAACTTAATTGGCTTTATTAGTATAATATTATGTTGTAATTTGTATTCTCCACAAATCATTGAATTTATTTATCTTTGTATCTTCAAAGTAATTAGAATAAGTTATATCATAATATACAATATCATTCTAATTATAGATCTATTACATTTACTTTATGCCATTTTTATCATTGTATAACATTTATTGTTAATGTCCGTAGTAATTCTTTACGAGCTTAAAATAATTGTAAGAAGTTAATGACCGAAAATTAATATTTACGTGTTAGTTATTTATAATAATTTTATATTTATAAACTGTGTTAAGAAAAACTGCCTTTTGTTACAAAACATTAAAGTTTTATTATTTTACAATGTAGATTGAATATTTAAAAGAAAAACAATAAGAATAGAATATTTCTAAAAATAAAACAAACTTAAATACTTACCTATTAGCTGTATATTATATATATATATTTTTTTATGTATTAGTTTTTAAATTTTTGTTAGCTTAACATGTATACTTAAAACATTCAAGTGTATACATCTATTTAAATATTTTGTTATAATGGGGTGTTTAAGGATTTAATTTTTTTATAAAGTTAAAAGTTAAAAGGTTAGATATTGAAGTTTAACTATTATTATAGTAATAACTAATTAGTAATGAATTAAACGTTTCAAAATGATACATTTGGTCCATCCTTTTTAAAATCTCAGCGGGGAAAGGAACCTCTTGCTAGTCATAATTATGTCACTGCTATATTGTAGAAGGTAATTAGTAGGTATATTAGCAAGTACTAGGTAAATAATAATGATTTGCGCCTCAAAAAAAAAATGCTCTTCTCAGTTCAACATGTTAACAATCATCGCTACTCATTAGGGTTGCCAGATTTTTAAATCCTCAACCGGAACATGATATTGAATGACCTATTTTAAAATTTTGTTTTACGCTTTTTATACTTTATAGTTAAATTAAATAATTTACTAATAACCTATTGTGTTTATTAATCACCTATTAACATTTTCTCTTCAATTGTACTGTATCATTTTTAATATTTTTATAAAATATGTTAAAAGTTAAACCAAAATTAATTTTACAGACCGTTAGGCCTCTTACTGTATTTTCATTCATTTAACCAAGCGTTATAATAAGCGAGAAAACTCTTTCTGCTGGAGCATACAAAAGATAAACTGTAAAATGAATTGTAGAGCTGTGATATCCTTTTCTTTGAAATGGCATAATAGCTGCATCCATTTTTATCACTTGTAATTTTTGTCTTCGTTCCTATTATTTCCTCTTTCCACTCTTGAACTTTTAATAACCAATACTTATAAACCAATACAAATTCATCAAAGATCTTGGTTTGAAATATAATTTTTTAGTCTCGATAAAAATTTTGGAATATTTTGTAAATCGTATCTATTACACGTAGAAGTAGGTAGTTGGTACGAATCTAGTTTTTTTATTAAAACAATAAAATCTGCCTGCATAGTTGTAAATAATTATAGTTAAATTAATTCGCGATTATGGAATAAATTACTAGGAAATTATTTTGTACTGCCTTGATTGTTGGAAATAGTGAAAATCTCACGGGGAAACCTTGAACTATTATTTTATACTACATCGGGTTTCGTGTATTTTTTTAAAACAAATTGCTGGTGTCGTAACACTTAATAACAATCTGATTCCTCGTCCTTCATACTACCTATATTATACATAATATATTTTTGTCACCACTAATAAATACTTTAGAGTAGTCCCAACATTTTTCAGAACCAGGGGCAAATCAATACCCACCCCTCAGGCCTCAATCATCATAACACGATACTAAGATAATAAGAATGAACTTAGAAAATAGAGATTTGCAAATGTTAGCAAATTTGACCTACAACGATCATTGAAACCTTCAATATCGGTGTTATGACGATAGTATATGATAGTAAGTTAATGTATGAAGTATGTAACTTATAATTTTTAGTAGGTAGGTACCTATTGAAATAACACTGGCAACTGTATTATAGCTATAACCTACACTAGTATGCGAGACTAGACAGTAAATACTAAACAACACATTTTTTTTTTTTTAACATTTATTTGGAAAATATACGATCTGTAAGGTATCTGTGCCGGTGTTTATGTGTTTTTACGTAAGTTTACATGAGTTTAAGGAACTACCCAACAGTAGTACTTATGAAAGCAACGAATTTAGATGTAGCCATGTAGGTAATAACGAAAATATTGAACATTCAATAACATGGTTAATAACTTTAGTCACCGTCCGACTTTGATATTCCACGTCGATAGTCGATAATTATTGAAATAACAAATTTCAACAAAGAAATTTGCATATTTTGACTATTAATTTTCGCACTGCGACACCGCGACATCAATAAATTACAATTATTATTTATCATTTAAGACAGGGATGGGCAACTCAAAGTTATAAGATTGGCAATTTTTAGAAAATTAAAATCTAGAGGGCCAGAGCATAGAATGCAAAAAAAAGGGTCATTCAAAATATAAATTTTAATTGGTGTTAAACAGATTATAGAGAATAGACGATTAACTTGAAAATTGTATGATGTAATTTGAAAATGTAGCTAGGGCCAGATTAAAAAGTCTCGTGGGCCGCCAGTTTCCCACCCCTGATTTAAGATGACAGAAAAAATTGCATGTTTAGCTATTTAAAAATATTATATAATATTACAAACTGCAGAAACGAAAATACAAAATGAAATAGTATTAGGTAATGGATTTTCATATAGAAATAGATTTTGCAACAGTAGACCCTTATGGGTAAATCCTAATTATATTACCTATGTTGTATTATTATTTATTATCCAACTATGAACTAACACATAAGTGTATCTGAAGTTTTTTTTTGTGGGGAGAGGGCCTAAACCTAAACCTTTCCAAAAATCGTGCCTGGGGAAAATTTATCTCATAATTTTGTGGAAGGTACCTATGTAGATATGGATTCATCTACGAATTGATGATGAACGAAATGACAATTTTGTAATTACTCCTTTTTAATAGAGGGTTTTTGAAATATGGGGAATAATATCAAAAATTGTGGGAATGTCGATCTCAAGTATGCTTGATGAATGATGATATATTCAAATCTGTTTTCAGAATTCTTATCACTTTACTATATCAATTGGTACGTTTGGCAAAGAACACGTCAAAAATTTTATACCTCGTGCGTCTTAAACAAAAATAGAAAATCACCGCAGTTATTTTTCGAAGCGAATTAATACATAACCACGATGAATCACATAATTTACTTCAAAAAATTATTTCAAATTCAACAAAGAGAAAAACAGCTGACCAAGGTATTTATAGACCATTAAAGATTATTACTTATTAGGGAAGATATTATCAACGTTTAACCCTTTTATGCTCCTTGCATGACATTGTTGTTGAAACAACTTTTTCAACCCGACTGCAGTTCGATCAGGTTTTTGGTAACTTTATACGGTCAGGTAAAACTTTCGATTGTAGGACTCGGACACTTTGCACTAGGCATATAGCCATATAGGTATGTATAAATAAAGTAAATTATTTAAAATACTGAAGTCATGAGTCAAGATCAATTATATTAAAAATGCTATTAAGTTTATATAGGTACCATTTGGTATAATATATCAAATTATATAATTTATTAATATACTATAGCCTATAGGTAATACCAAGTAATGTTTAGTTGTTACCTAATCTGTAAATTTAAAAAACTGATTACTTTTGACTTGTTTATGTGTTATTATTTATAATATTTGAATATACGAGTAATAAAACATTAAATTAACAAAAAAAATGTCCACGATTTCCACAGACGTATATTAAGATATAATATGCACTGCAGTTATAAAGCATATACCCAATTTTTACCATGATTTAAAAAAAAATTCCAGTCAAGCCCTAAATATTAATCATATTTTCAATTAAAAGTTTGCATAAGAGGCATATTATTACAGGTAAGTACGTGCATGTCGTACAATATTTGTATACTCTGCAAATATGTATGCAGTATTTAGGAATCATTGTTTGGTGGTGCATGTAATGGTAATAGGTACGATCATTCGACTGCAGGATTCTCCAACGAAAGAATGATAATGGCAGGGAGTTTTGGGCCAAATTGACCAAAATCATACATAAGCTTCCCTTTTCGGCCAAACCAAAAAGTTTAATATTTAATTTATGTTATGTACCTACATAGAAAAGTATTAAAAATATAAGTTTAATAATTAATAATTATTTATTTTTGTCTTGTATACTTAATTGAATTTTTATATGTTTATGTATAGGTACCTACTTATGTCGCATACCTAATGATTATAATTTGTATGTATGTAATATATATAAACTGCAAATATACAACGTTCTATATATCATATATGTGTGTGCGGGAAGTACGGAAATGAGATAATGCTTTGGTATAATTAAATAATTAATGTGTAATTATAAAATATGTTATCTAGATAGATAGATAGTTATTATTTAGTTACCGTGTATACCTACCTATACCACATGACCTAAAATTGTCTAGCAAGTTATTCTATTAGATAAACACGTCAACTCGATCTTATTGAAGAAAACACAATTATTTACTATATAGTTCATAATGCTCAATATATTATGACTTACCTTTTCGAATTGTTATCGTACGTTTTTGCTGTGAAAAAAACTACTGCGTAGAAAAATATCTCATTCGAGGTACGTAGCATCGCCAACGAGAACCGATTTTCGTCGAGTAGTTGACTGTTAAAATCCACCGACATCCACCTACGTTTTGATTTTGTAATTGAATATTGTACTGTAGTCGAATACTTAATGCTTTTCACGAGTCATTGAGAGAAAAAACTATGCACACCCCGATCACAGCAGTTCGTCTTTCACATAACAAGCGATGAACTAATAAATAAAATATTTAGGCGTGAGTTTACGACAGAGTAGAACGATCAGAGTGTAAGACTGTAAGGTTCCAGCTGATCATAATAATATTATGTTATTCATTATCGATTCAAAAAACGGGTACTACACCGATATCGGCGGAAACTAGAATTCATTTTTTAGTTAAATGGCGGAAAACGGGTAGTGTCCAAAATGCAGTGGAACCGGTTTAGAGGTTAGGAAACTCTTCGAATATTAATTCTA